ATACATTATTATTAATTGGATTAAGTATAATTAAGCATTATATATAAATATTAATATTAATATATTAAATATATATAACAACGAAATATATTATAATTTATATTAAGCAATAATAATGATATTATATCAATATTATAGCTATACATTATTATTAATTGGATTACATATAATTAAGCATTATATATAAATACTAATATTAATATATTAAATATATATATAACAACGAAATATATTATAATTTATATTAAGCAATAATAATGATATTATATCAATATTAGAGCTATACATTATTATTAATTGGATTAAGTATAATTAAGCATTAGATATAAATATTAATATATTAAATATATATAACATAACGAAATCTATTATAATTTATATTAATGTTAATTATTAATAGTATTAATATTAATATTACCAGTCTTTTTCATATTATTATTAATAATAAAGATTATAATAATGATAGACATAATGATGATCATGATAATAATGCTAATAATGATAATGATAATGATGCTAATGATAATAATAATGATGCTAATGATAATAATGATAATGATGATAATGATGATAATAATAATAATATTAATAATAATAATAATAATTAATAATTCAGTTCCATCCTCTCCTTCCCAGGGTTCCTCCTCATTCCAGGCCAGAACCCAATGGAAGGAGCAGCAAAATTCCCGATTCCACTGCAGCCAAATCCAGCCTGGATTTTCCTGCCCAGGAAACCTGAAAAAGCCAAATCCTGCTTTATTTATCCAGTTTATTTTCCAAAAGCCTCCCAGGCCGTTCATTTCCCCAATTATTTTATCTGCTGCTCTTTTATTTTGTATTTTTTATTTCTTTTTAATTTTATTTTTATTTATTTTTTATTTTTTATTTTTTATTTTTTTTAATTTATTTTTTATTTAATTTTTATTTTTTTAATTTATTTTTTATTTAATTTTAATTTTTCATTTTTCATTTTTTATTTTATTTTGGTTTTTTTTTTCCCCCCCAGTTTCTTTTTCCTGTTGTTTTCCTGCCCCCATCCAGGGAATTTTCTCCCCCTTTTTGTGCAACCCCCCCCCCAGCTTAAAATGAAATGAAATTTAAATTTAATTTATATTTATATATTATTTATATCTTATTTATATTTATATAAATATATATTTATATATATCTATATTTATATATTTATATTTATTTTTATATTTATATATTTATATTTATATGTATTATATTATATATATTATATTATATATATTATATTATATTATATATATTATATTATATATATTATTATATTATATATATTATATATATTATATATATTATATATATTAAATATATTATATATTATATTATATATTATATTATTTATATTTATATAAATATATAAATATATATGAATATAAAATTTATCTGGAGAATATATTTATTTTATATTTATATTTATATTTATATTTATATTTATATTTATATTTATATTTATATATTATTTATATTTATATTTATTTTTATTTTATATTTATATTTATTTTAATATTTATATTTATATTTATATTTATTTATAATATTTATATTTATATTTATATTTACATTTCAGTTGAGCTGAAATCAAACACACCCAGGAATCTGGGAATTTGGGATTGCCAAATTTCCCAGCCTGGAATTGCAGGAGAGGATCAGGACAGAACAAACCCAACCAAACCCTGATTAAAAGTTCTTCACATCAAATTAATTCCCAAAAAAAACCCCATTGGGAACATGTGGGGGGGAATTTGGGACGCCAGGATGGAAATGAGGGAAAACAGAGGGAGAATTCCAGGGAATAAATCACAGGGAGTGGAGAAAGCTTCAGAAACGGAGCTGGGAAAAACGAAATGAAATCAAAATTGGCTCTGTTCCCTTTCCTGGGAGAGCTGCCGGGAAAATCCCACAGGAAACTCCTGGGAAAGGCAAATCCCGGCTTGGGATGCTCCGAGGGGCTGGAGCTGGGAGCAGGGACAGGGCAGGGATCCAGGGAGCTGTTCCAGGGATCCAGGGATCCGTTCCTGGGGGATCCAGGGATCTGTTACTGGGATCCAGGGAAGCATTCCAGGGATCCAGGGATCTGTTCCTGGGATCCAGGGATCCATGGAGCTGTTCCTGGGGGATCCAGGGATCAGATCCTGGGGGATCCAGGGAGCCGTTCCTGGGATCCAGTGATCCAGGGATCTGTTCCTGGGATCCAGGGATCCATTCCTGGGGGATCCAGGGATCCAGGGATGCGTTCTGGGGGGGTTCAGGGATCCAGGGATCTGCTCCTGGGATCCAGGGATCCATGGAGCTGTTGCTGGGATCCATGGAGCTGTTGCTGGGATCCAGGGATCCAGGGATCCGTTCCTGGGGGATCCAGGGATCCATTCCTGGGATCCAGGGAAGCATTCCTGGGATCCAGGGATCCGTTCCTGGGATCCAGGGATCTGTTCCTGGGACCCAGGGATCCGTTCCTGGGATCCAGAGATCCGTTCCTGGGATCCAGGGATCTGTTCCTGGGATCCAGGGATCCCTTCCTGGGATCCAAGGATCTGTTCCAGGGATCCAGAAAAAGGAGGGAGAGGAACTCTCCTTCCTCCAGGGCTGGAAAATCTGGGACAGGAGATCCCTGATCCATTCCCAGCCAAGGCCGAGGGATTCCCTGGGATCCACCCCCTGCCCAGCTCCGATCCCTCTGGATCCCTCAGCTCCCGGGATCCTGGATCCCAGCAGGATCCCGGTCCTGCTCCCCTCCTCACCTCCAGCCGCAGGTGAAGGGAAGGAGCCGGGGCTGCAATCCCGTTAAAAACTCGGGAATTTCGGCCTCACCTGCAAGGAGAAACAACAGATTGGCCTTGAGATTTTCCCAAACATTCCCAAAAACATCCCAGGAACCGAGAACAAACCCCAACTTCAATCAAATCACAACGGAAAGAAAAGGCCGGAGATACCACAGGGTACAAAATAGGAATTATTTATATTTTCCAAAAGAAAAAACAAAAAGAGTTCCCAACTATTGAAACATCTCTGCTGTAAGAAGTGACTAAATAGAAAGGGACAGGGCTGGCCCCGGACAGCCAGAGCAGGTACAAACAGTGTAAGAACCACGGAGCAACTCGGGGACGTCGCACGCAACCGTCAGCAACACTGAAATTCATCCTGGGGGGCTCGGGGGGCTTCTCTTCCGTAAAAAAACAGGGGAGGAGAGGGGAAATAAAGGAGGGGAAAACGCCCAGGACGTTTCCCACAAGGTTTGGAACAGGAAGCGTCGGTGCTGCCGTGGGCTCGGCGGTGCCGTTCTCCTGGTCCGAGCTGGCGTTTGACAGGAAAGGGGCTTTTGGAACCGTTGCTTCTGTTTGTGGTGGACACACACAAGTGCTAAAAACAGCAAATTCGTCTCCTGGCCGAGGGCGCGGCGCGCCCGGCTCGGCCGCGCGGCGTTTGCCATAAATACTCCTGGAGCTCCCCTCGGGGATCTCCTCACCTCTGCCCGGCCTGGGGGGCGTCAGGCGGGTGGCAAGGGAACACCCAGACACAGGGAATCGCAGGAACAGCCCCAGAGCCCCACCCTC